TTAGTAAAATTTTCCGAAGAAAAAAGCTTATGAAGATTTTACTAAGTTAGTTTGGCTACGATAACAAGAAAACTTAAGAGGGTAATTAAGCCTAAATTTGAAGTTGTGCTAAACCCGAATTTAAGTTAACTTTAGATAAGTTTTTCTCTGTGTGTAACTTCGAAAGTGCGCCATTTCAGACACACACAAAGTAAAGTTGCAGGATCTCGGTGTCCAGAGAGGGCTTGCGTTTTATTGTCCGTTTTTTTATACTTACATAACTATTGTTATTGTTATGCAAGCGTAAGTGGCGGTATACTAGAGGTATACGCCGCCGAGCCACGCCGCCGCCGCCGCCGTTTTTTGTCATTTCTCACGCGCCGCCGCCGAGTTACGTAAATATCGGCGCGGCGGCGGCGGCGGCGGCGTTCGGCGCCTAAGGAATTTTGTACAAAATTTTCATGATGTATGCACATTAAAATACATCGTTTGAAGGAACTAAATACTACTCGTATAAAGACACTATTTTACGAAAAGAGGATTAAATTTTTAAAGGAATTATTTCGCATAATTTGGGCCACTGAACATTTCCAAAAAAACGTAACTCAGAAAAAACATAGGTAACACGTTATATTTTTCTATTTGGCACATTTTGGCACTTTTTTATCCTCAATATGGCACTTCATAGCTAAGTATAGTTGGAAGCCCTGTTCCCAAGTGGTGGTCAAATCCCAGGAGGCGTTTGCTCCCGCGCATCGCAATGTCTTCTACACAGGGTTAAAGTCCCCATTTTTCGTAAAAATTACTATTATTTTTCATTACATTCAGTTCTCCTTAAAAAAATTTGGCGCTTAATATTTTAGTGGATATTTTAGCTACCTATAAGTGGCCAGAAAGGCCCGTTCTGGTGGAAGTTGACCAAACCTTGTTTTCAATATACATATGATCCGCAAAGAATCGTAACAACTCCGTAATTTAACATAACGGATGATAAGATTATTGCCAAAAAATATTGATAGCGACATAAATTACCCCAATAACTTAACATTTTAAATTTTTTTATTTCTTTAAATTTCAGTAGTATACATATACGGATTTGTAGAGAACATAGAGATGTATTTATTTATATACGTCGGACTTTCTTCTGTTTGCCCATCCATCAGCAGCAGACACTCAACATTTTAATTCAAGTAGAAAGTAACGTAATTTTAATTTAAAACTAATTCAATGAATTAATTAAATACAATTACAATCTGAATTGGCATGGCCAATGCCTAACGCTGACGAGATGACATGATAAGATTAGTAGCTTTATGTCTCTTTTGAATCTACCTAATGGGCAGTAGCGCCGGCGTTTTAGGACGCGCCGGCGTCGCCGCCGCCGCCGATTCTTTTTCAAGTTGACCACGCCGCCGCCGCAAAGCCTGTCGGCGTAAACCTCTACGGTATACAAGTACCAAGTATGTTTTTTTTGTGTACCTTTATGTATGTTTGCTCGTCAGTTTAATTTTTTTCTTTCAAGTATTTTGCATGATTCAAATTTCACACTTTCTATTCAGAAATTTAATGGTGGGTTCGTTTCTTCCAAAAAATGTTGCCCTTCTACGGTGCAAAATCTGTTTGGTGTTACACTCAACCCTGTAAAAGGGCATGTTTTTGCCCTCTTGTCCTTGTCTGGCTTAATAATTTCATAATATTGTCGTTTTATTTAAGCAACCATCTGGTTTTCAGGGCAACCTTCTCCCCTGAAAAAGCTTCAAAGGGCAGCTAATATGAGAGTGTGAGATTTTAAGAAACGAACACAAAATTGTCTAACTATTTGAATTTATTTTAGAATCAAACACGAAAAGAGCAAGAGGCAATAAAAGGCCAACATTTTTTGATAGAAACAAAAACACCATAAGAAAATTTTTGACCAAGCAGTAGGGTGATTGACTCGGTTTTTTTAATTTTTGATATCATGATTTTTCGAATGTCGAATAGACCGGAGTTTTGTTATCGAATAATCGGGTTATTCATCTAATATACATACATATATATCTAAGCACCGGCATCTTAAATTCCGCTCTTAATTCATTATATTTTATATTTTGTTCAAGGT